GGCACTTGAGTGGCCTTCCCGCACCTCCTGTGGCGGTGCCTGCTGTGTGGTCGTGTGGCGTGTGACCTCTTGGGGGGCAGGTCCAAGCCTCTGGTCCCCATCCCCTGCGGCTGCCCTGGTGCCCTGGTGCCCTGGTTTCTGAACCCCTTTGCCACCCGGAGGTGCCGCTCCGCACAGCTCAGCCAGGACCTGGGTGCCGAGTGGACCACAGTTTCCTGACTCCGCTGGCCCACCCTGCATTCCCCGTGGGAATGAGCTAGACCGTCGGTGCTGGTTACTTTGGACTGTCAGGAGGGTCGGAAGGAGAAATGTTCTCTGAGGTTGGAGTGCTGGGATTTTTAGGGTCTTTTCTAGGACAGAACCCTGTCATTGTTAATAGCGGGGACTTCTTGCCTTTCAGCAGATGCCGCATAAGGTTAGAGGCTGGTGCGGTGTGCTCTGTGCATGGCTATGTGTTTGTTAGTGCTGCTCGCTGATATATTTTTAAATTATAAAATAAAACATATTATTTTGAGTAATTTAAATTTAGAACCTCAAAAGTGGTAGTAGCATCTTCCCGTCACAGGTGCACTTTCCCTGCTTGAGAAGGGCACCCAGGCAGCCTGCGTGCTTCTGGTGGGGACTCTGTGCGGTGGGCTTTCAGGACCTCGACCGTGGAGTCAGCGCAGGGTCCCCGGGCGGCCAGGCACGCCTCTCCAACTGCCAGACCTGCCTTTCTAAGAATGACGCAGAGAGGGACTTGCACTATGAGAGTGAGAACACAGGCTTCCATGCAAGTGGTGGGACAGGGACAGCACCTTCAGGGGAACTTGCCAGGGCTCCTTTCTGGGAATGGTGGGGAGCCTGGGCCTGCACCCCAAGAGGGCAGTAAGCTTCCCCGGCCCCACCCTGGCGCAAGAGGAGGAGGAGGTGCGAGGCGGCTCCAGCTCGTGCCTCTGGGCTTTTCTCTAGACTTAGGAAAGGCAGATGTGGGCCAGAGAAAGCCGGTCCGTACAGACACAAGACAACCCCAGCAAAGTCCTTTCCTGAAACACTGTCTCAAGGACCGTCTTCTGAGTGCAGAGTAAAATCTGCATGTGGAAGAACATGCTCGGGAAATAACAGATCCTGCCTTTCTGCCAGTGCTCTTCTCCAGCAGTTGACTTTCTGCATGTTCTCAACTTCGACAGAATGCTCAGTTATGCAGCCCAACTTTTGCTTCCTTTAGCGGGAGAATCTTCACTCCAGAGGGATTTTCAGTCCCAGCCCCAGATCTCCCCCTCGGGTGTTTAGGCTGGGCCTGGGGCTCGGGGCCTTCTGGCTGTGGAGGAGGCCTGTGTGTCGGACCAGGCCTCTGAGAAGTCTGGGGCAGGCAGAGGGCAGATGGCAGGAAGGACGGAGGGCCTGGCCGGGCGCTGGGGACATCCGTGCCCAGAAGCCCACACTCTGCCTGCTCATCCTCCCTGGCCCAGGCTGGTGCTGGGCGCAGCCCCGGGTAGCTCTCTCAGGGGCTGCCCAGGAGAGGCTGTCCTGGGAGCACCTGTGGGTCCCAGTCCCCCCTCACCACCAGCTTTGTGGGGGCAGGGCCACCTTGTTTGCTCCAAGGCCTAGCACCGAGTGAGCTCCTGGCGCTTGCTGGACGAACAAATGAAATGCAGGAGTTTTGCGCTGAGTTTTGGTTTTGGCACCAGGACTTTGTAATAGGTAAGGAAGCACGAGAAAAGGGGAAGGGAATGGCTCCTGACCTGCTTTTCATCGTGGGAGACGGCGCACACGAACCACGGGCGGAACCTGCGTGGCCCCCTGCGTGGCCCCCTGCGTGCCGCTCGGCGTCAGCAGTGTGCCAGCCCAGCCCGTCCTGTTCCACGCATCCCCCCATCTCAGAGAAGGCCCCAGCCCTGCTGCCATTTAACCCGTGCATATTTCAACGTGTAGCTCTAAAAGACAGGCTTCTTTAGAAAGATACTCTTATGATACTTTAAAAATGAACAGTGATCCTGTCATCAGATGTCCCCTCTGTTCAGATTCCCAGTGGTCCTACAGTGTTTCCACCTGACCCCAGCCACGTGGCCGGACCTGAATCCCACTCCAAGCATGGTGTTAGTTGGTGTGTGTTTTTTCCTTTTTTATTAGAGGCAGGGCCTCGCTCTGTCTCCCAGGCTGGAGTGCAGTGGCGCCGTTATAGCTCACTGCAGCCTCCAACTCCAGGGCTGGGTATGTCTTTTTTAAGGTAGTAGGTTTTTTTTCTGTTTTTTTGTTTGTTTGTTTTGAGACAGAGTCTCATTCTATTGCTCAGGCTAGAGTGCTGTGGCGTCAGCCTAGCTCACTGCAACCTCCAACTCCTGGGCTTAAGGGATCCTCCTGCCTCAGCCTCCCGAGTAGCTGGGACTGCAGGCATGCGCCACCATGCCTGGCTAATTTTTTCTATATATTTTTAGTTGTTCAGCCAATTTTTTTTCTATTTTTAGTGGAGACGGGGTCTCTCTCTTGTTCAGGCTGGTCTCGAACTCTTGAGCTCAAATGATCCACCTGCCTCGGCCTCCCGGAGTGCTAGGATTACAGGCGTGAGCCACCACACCCGGCCTAAGGTAGCTGTTTGGAGGTATAATTAGCATAGAATACACTGCACATACTTAACGTGCACAGTAAGTTTTGACACGTGTGTGCACCCACGAAACCGTCACCGTGCTCAAGATAGCCAGCGGTCCTCCCAGCTGTCTGTTGTGCTTTTTTCTTTATAATTTATTGCTGGAAGAATCTGGCTTTGTCCTGCCGGGGTCTTGCTGACCGTATCCCCGAGATGCAGTTTAACACGACACTCCCGCGTCCCTGAAGCCGCCACCCCGGGGAGACCTCGCGCGCCGCTCTCCTGTCCTCTGAGTGCCCTCTCCTGGAGAGGCGGGTCGTGTCCCGTGGGGCTCCCGGCTCTGGAGGCGGCTGGCGCGTCCTCATGGCGTGTTTCCTGCGCTCCCCCGTTCTCTGTGCTCCCTCGTGTTGACAGGTGAAGCCCCGGCACGGCTGCTCTGGAGGCGGCGTGTGTGTCCCCAGGAGGCGCCTGGCGCCGGCTCTGCGCGTCAGTCCCGGGCGTGTCAGTCCCGGGCGCGTCAGAGCACCAGGTCCAGCAGCGACCCCTCAGCTGCGGTTCGGTGACACTGGGGCGGGGAAGGCAGGATGAAGGCTCGTGCTGTCCCCGTGTGTACTGTTGGCAGTTTTCATGACAGCGTGTGGGTTTGCCGGTGTCGTCATCCGGTGGTGCCCGCGCGGACTCTGGACCTCACACGTTGGCTGTGTCTCGGTCTCTCGCAGCCTTTGGTGCCTCGATCGTCTCAGCTCTGCAGCGGGAGCTGCCGTAGGTTCATTCTGAGTCTTTGACAGGACCCCACGTCCCAGTCTGCCCCGCTGTTGTGGCAGGACGCCACCCACCGGGCGGTTTGCCACGAGCAGACCTTCGCTGGCTCGTGGTTCTGGAGGAGGGAAGGCCCCGTCCAGGTGCCCGCACCTGGCGAGGGCCTTTCTGCAGCGCCATCCCCTGGCAGAGGGTGGTGGGGCCAGGAGAGGATGAGGGGCACGGCGCGGGAGGGGAGGTGTGCGAAAGGGGGGCTGAACGCGCCCCTTCACAGCAGACCCACCCGAGACCACGGCAAGGGTCCGCTCACGGAGGCAGAGCCCCCACCGCCCAGCGCCCCTTGGAGGTCCCGCTGCCTGGCGTGGCCACGAGGCCCATCCAGCCTGAGTTCTGGAGGGGACAGGCATTCAGACCGGAGCGCCCCAGTCATCCTGAGTCACGTCCTCACTTCCTGCGGGGTGAGGTGGGGCCCGGTGGATTCCCCTCCAGGGAACCCACTTCCTCCGGTGGCTTCCGGAGGGAAGTTGCCGGCGCCGCGGCTGGGCGTGTGGCGTCGGAGAGGAGCCAGCCGTGAGCAGCTTCTCCGACGTGCGAAGGAGAGCAGGTCGCACCCGAGAGCCGGGCTCTTTGTGCTGTTTCCAGAAGCCGTTTTGGCGCCAGGTTCCCGGGCGACTGGGAAGTCGGGAGAGAGGCAGAGACACGAAAGTCCTCGGGGAGAAGCGCAGCGGCTTCATCCCGAGTGAGCTGCCTCGTAGCTGCTCATTTGCCTTCGCTGTGGGCGCCAGAGCCCCAGAGACGAGCCGCTTCGGGGTGTCTCGGAGCACCGTGCGGCCACTCCGGCACGGAGGGCACGTCCCGCTCAGGGCCGCTCTCCCTGCCACCGCGCCGCCGGTCGCGCAGACCTGCAGAGAGCCCCGGGGCTCGGCTTTGATCTTTCTGACGCAACTAAACGTGCTTATTTTCAGAATAAGTTAGACCTTTTGGGACCGGGTTGGCCTTTTGCTTCGTTGTCTTGTCATGTATAAAGTGCCGCTCTTCACAGTGGGGGGTGAACGTGCCTGGGTTCTGCTGGACACCGGGCTAAAACGACATTGAGAGAACTCAGGTTTACATCAGTTTATCCCGATAGCAGCTGATCTGTGTGGCACTCAATTCCCTAGAATTCAAAATTGGTTCCAGTGGATGTGAAACAAATATTTTAACTTATTTGTTATAAGATAAGTTTCCATTTATTAATAACCATGTGTTTCCAGCTTCTGAGGAAGGTTGCGATGACTTTCGGTAAAACTCCCTGAGCCGTGTGTGAGCCCTGGCGCCGGGCGCCTCGCGGGAACACGTCTGCGCTCACACCGCCCGCCCACGTGGCCTCCCCGAGCTAGCGCCTCGCTGTTTCTCACAGGGCTGTAGATGGTGATTTCCAGACACAGCTCTTCAAATACTGGCGCTTACTGATCTCTCATTCGCTGACCGGTCTTACATTGTATGATGTTTACAGTATGCTTCTTCTCATTTATGGTTTAGAAATTACGTATCTGTCACGAGGTAGGAGTTTGTTTTATTTCTTAGACGTAAGTGAGATGCATCCCAGGAATGGTGAATGGATACTTTAAAGATGTTTCTGAGCCGTGCGCGAAACTTCTGAAAGCTAAGTTTGCCAAAATGTTTTTCCCTTTAGATCCCAGCGTCTGTTGGATTTCTACCAAGAGAAAGTTTGTAGCGTCAAATTCCTTACACTGCTGGAGGGGCCAGACGCGATGATTCAGTAGAAGAGCTCAGACCCCGGCAGCGAGGGGGCCCGGACGCTGAAGGATGAATGGGGAGGAGGAATTCTTCGACGCCGTCACAGGTGGGTGGAGAGAGGAGGTGAGCGGGGGTAGGGGCGGCAATGGGAGCGTGGAAACCGCTGGATCCAGGTGTTGGACTCGGCATCTGGGCGCGAGGATGGCTCCACGGAGCCGCACACTCGAGGGTCACTTTAGACTAGACGCTGACTTTTCCTTAAGGCGCGACGTCCCGTCTCACACGTGGGAAAGCCTTGACTTTGCATCCAGGAGCCAGCCTGAGCGGGCGATGGGGCAGTCTTCGAGTCTCCCTGGGGGCTCGGTGATTTTGTCAGGATCCCAGGTGAGATGGTCAGTGTTCTTCTTTGTGCTTGACGATCGAAACCTTGTTGATGTCACCGCTGCAGCTCGTTTTGCCTCTCGCGTGCCGACGGGCGCGTCACCTGCTCACGGCGGCTCTCGCCGTCCCATAGCTGTTCAGCCGCTTCTCGCTCTTTTTTTTTTTTTGAGACAGTCTCACTCTGCCCAGGCTAGAGTGCCATGGTGTCAGCCTAGCTCACAGCAACCTCGAACTCCTGGGCTCAAGCCATCCTCCTGCCTCAGCCTCCCCAGTAGCTGGGACTACAGGCATGCGCCGCCATGCCCGGCTAATTTTTTTTTCTATATATATTAGTTGGCCAATTAATTTCTTTTTTTTTTTTTAAATTTATAGTAGAGACAGGGCCTTGCTCAGGCTGGTTTCGAACTCCTGACCTTGAGCATTCCGCCTGCCTCAGCCTCCCAGAGTGCTGGGATTACAGGCGTGAGCCACCGCACCCGGCCCGCTTCTTGCTCTTTGCATGGCCAGTTGAAATAGTGGCGTGCGGCCTGTGGTCGGAGAGGAATCTGCGCCCCGGGGACGAGAACATGGCGGGTGACGAGAGCGTGGTGGGTGGAGGGGTGTGGCGTGTGGCCTGTGCTCGGAGAGGAATCTGTGCCCTGTGGATGAGAGCGTGGCGGGTGATGAGAGCGTGGCGGGTGATGAGAGCGTGGCGGGTGACGAGAGTGTGGTGGGTGATGAGAGCCTGGCGGGTGGGGAGGTGGCGGGGAGGGGGCAGACCAGGGACGCAATGGGGTGGCAGGTTCACCTCGGCGGAGCGCCCGTCTCCTCCCTGACGCTAGGAGGTGGCGGGACAAGTCTTTACGTGCGAGACTGCTGGCTCAGCACTCCTCTGCTGCTCTCTGTCCCGCAGAGTCAGCGTCTGGTTTCCTCTCCGAGAGGCTGCCACTGCCGGAGTAATAGGCCCTCGAGGGACTGTGCTAGTGCGTTTCCTCCGCAGGGGCAGGAATACGGGAATGGCAGCTCGGAAGTGTCCCCACAGGCCGGGTGATGGTGGCGGTCTCTGGAAACACTTGTGTAGTTGCTGCCGTGCAAGGGTCTTCCTGACGGCCCCTCAGGGACACCGGTGGACGGCTCTGTTGAACTTCGGTTTCACGTGGCCCCGCTGGCTGGGCCGCAGTGGGCGTCACCGTCTGCACAGGCCGATGGGCCAGCCGCCCACGATCGTCTACTTACTCTCGTGCGAGGTCCCAGGAGAAGGGGACGCTGAGCTCCTGACCCTCTTCAGAGGCCAAGTTAGGTCATTCTTGTTCCTTCTCAGCTGGTGCTGGCCGAACTCCAGCCTCATCGGCGGCCGCCCTCAGCTGTTCCCACTCAGCGAGCGGCCGCCAGGTGGCCTCAGCCTCGGACCCCCTTGCTCTCCAATGGGAGGCCACGTCTGGTCATCGAGAGCCCCGCCTCAGCGTCCCTCCTCTCTAGGAGTCTGTAAGAAGTCCCCTTCACCGGGGCTTGTGTGACCCCTGCTCCCCCAAACACCTCTGAGCTTTCTGGGCACGGTCGTGGTGGTTTCTCCAGGGTTGTGGTGGCTCCCCCATGCAGGAACGACGCCCAGCGGGGCTGGGGAGACGCTGGTCCCGGTGGCAGTGCTTCTCCGAGTGTCCCCAAGATCAAGGCGGAAGGGACAGATGTCTGAGTGACAATAATTTCTCACCTTGGTCATTTGGCTCCAAAACAAGTAATAGAAAAGGAGAAAAATGCAAAGTCTCTTAATGCAGCGAACTGCCCGTCTATGATACGGAGTCTTCAGGGCTTCCCTGTCTGTGATATTAATCAGACTTGATAACTCATTTTAAAAGTGTTTAAGCCAAGCAGTTATGAAATGAACGACTCCATTAGGAAATGACTTTCTCTAAGAATCAGTACCACTCAAATGAAAGGTTTTAAAGTACGCGAACAATACGTACAAGATTACGGGCCACGAAAACACAAAGTGATTTAGTGGAAGTGGGCGTTTCCGAGTGACCAGATTACAGGTGATTTCAGCTTCCTCCTTTGCTCTTCCGTATTTCCTCTTTTTTTAATTTTTTTTGAGACAGTCTCACTCTGTTGCCTGGGCTAGAGTACCATGGCGTCAGCCTAGCTTACAGCGACCTCAAACTCCTGGGCTCAAGCGATCCTCCTGCCTCAGCCTCCCGAGTAGTTGGGACTACAGGCATGCGCCACCATGCCCGGCTAATTTTTTCTATATATTTTTAGCTGTCCAATTAACTTCTTTCTATTTTTGGTAGAGATGGGGTCTTGCTCTTGCTCAGGCTGATCTTGAACTCCTGAGCTCAAACAATCTGCCTGCCTTAGCCTCCCAGAGTGCTGGGATTACAGGTGTGAGCCACTGCGCCTGGCCTGTATTTTGTCTTTCTGTTAATACGGTAAATGCATGTTATGTGTTAAAATGTTGCGGTATTTGCATAGCGGTGGCCTAACTGGAGATGAGGCTTCACCTGGTGGAGTGCGCGGCTGCTGTATTTTCCAGGGGGGAAGATCCTGCGTGGTGGAGCACCCTTGTGCGGGGAGTGTTTCCAGGATTACTTCAGAGTGAGGATTAAGTAGATGCTGCTTTGGGGATAGGCAGCAAAAATTAGGGGTGATGGGCTAGTTCAGAAAATATTGATCATTTAAGAGGTCCGTTTTTGATGCGCCCTTTCAGAACCATCGGGCAGTGCGTCCCAACATTCTGTAAATGCGCCAGTGTAGAAGACACGCGCGAAGATGCTTTTGCTCGCTCCTAGGGAAGCGCAGCAGCAGATCTAGTCACACACCGGGTTTGACCGGTTCCCTGCCTGCCCTCCTAGGCCTGCCCTTCCCTTGTGGGGTCCTCATCCGTGTCGCCACCCGGCTCCCGCGGGCACTGTGCAGCCCCAGCCCTCGCTCCAGCCTGCTCCGTAGCACAGACCTGTACTGACTGAGTGGAAGGGAGACACTCTTCTTCTTTGCCTGTAGTCACCTTTTCCTTCCTAGAGAAGGACCTTGTGGCAGAGAAGGCCGGGAGCAGTGGCCAGGCCTCTCCTGGGACTGGGGGTCCCGGAACATGTCACACAAGTTCCAGATGGTTCATCCTCCAGAGCCCCTTCTGCATGGAGTCCACTCCAAGTCCAGCCCCCACGTGACGTTGCCTCGGTAGTTAGTGATGCGTTGGGGGCTGTGGAGGTCTCGTTCCTTTGAAACCTCATCAGCGGGCATATTTTAGAACAAGATGCAGAGCCTAGTTGCAAACCTCGTGCGAAGACAGGGCCCACTGCAGCCTCAAACTGGCTTTGAACTCTGTGCAGGCGGCCCACCCAGAGGGCGTGAGTCCTGGATTAAAGTGAAGTCCTCCCTTCAGGAGGATGGAACTTGTGCCCTGAAGCTGTACCTCCAGCCCCTGGTAGCGGAGCCTGGGATGTCTCATGCTCCAGGGGGAACAGCGTTCCCAGTCTCTGTTCCAAGCTAGCATGTTCCCGCGCTCTCTGCCACGGCCTTTATGTCTGGGGAAGCTGAAGTCATTCCAGATGTGTCCGTTAGAAACAACGTAGAGCGTTCGTAACCTGCTTGTGTGGTCGGAATTCCTGGAGGTAGGTTTTACATCTTCCAAGTCCAGCGAAAGTTACCGTTCTTCTTCCCCTGTGCAGGCTTCGACTCCGATAACTCTTCCGGGGAATTTTCCGAGGCAAATCCGAAAGTCACTGGGATGCTTGACTTGGACACCAGCAAAAGTGACAGGATCGGGAAAATTGGGGAGAGGCCCCCTCAAGAGAATGGAATGCAGAAGCACAGGTATGTCGTCTCATGTATCTTTTTAGAGTTTTCCAGAGTGCATGTGTCCTCACCCCACAGTGTCCCCCAGCCCAGGGGTGGTGGGCTGCAGCTCCCCCACGTGCCCCCGGTGCCAGCTGCTGCTCCAGGAGGCTGGCACCTCTGCTGGGCTCCTGCAGCTGGCGGGTGGCAGTTTTCTGACCAGCGATTCCCCGTCTGTGAGAGGCCGACACTCTCCTCCCTGCACCCCTGGACTCACGGTGAGCGAGGTTGGGTCGCAGGCTTTGTGCTGGCCAGCGGGCAGCACTCAGACCTCTGGTCCCCAGACCCCTTGCTGGTTTCCTGCAGATCTGCCTATTCTTCCCAGACAGCCAGATTCATCCTTTGTCTCCTGAGTTCTGTTGCCACGCATTGACCTCTGACCCGTGGAGATAGGAAGGGTTCGGTTAGCTTGGTGCAGTGAGACCGTGCTCCATTTTCCTCCTACCGCGTTTTCACGTTCATGGTGGGAGATTCTGGGGACAGTGCCCATCGAGAGGGGTCTTCAGTCTTCGTCGGCAGAAGCAGGAAGGCAGGATGGGCCGGCGGGCGGGCAGAGGCTGCCCTGGGAGCTGCCGGCCTGGGAGGGTGGGGCTCTGCGCATCTGCGCTCTCATCCCTGTGGACGGGGCTGTCCCTGGTGGCTGCGTAAACGCCTGCTTGGTGGGTCCTTGTGGGTACCCTGAGTGCCTCACTAACCTGTTACTCATTCGCTTGCCCAGCAGATGTGAGAGCACCTCCCCTGGGGTCTGGGGCCCTCTCGGGTCTGGGCCTGCCATGCTCCCCATCACCTGCTGGCACCTGACCTTTCTCCATGCCCAGTGGCCTGCGGCCAGCCCGAAGTGCCCTTGTCCTCCCACAGCCCGCGGCCCCGCCCCTTCCCTGATGCTCTGGCCCTTTAAATGCCGTCGGGCCCTTCTGTCTCTCCACGCCCTGACCCCACCCTCTGCCCCCCCACCACACGGAGTCCCTCCACTCCCCGACTCCCGCTCCCTGTCCCTGCTGCTGCATGCAGACCCACTTTTCAGAAGACAGATCTGGCCTTGCCGCCTCCCCGCTCTGCCGGGCAGGACCACGGGCGCAGCCTCACAGTCCTGGTCCCACGCAGCTCTGAACAGCACCCCCTGCGTGCACAGACACCGGCTCGGGCTGAGCTGTGGTGAGTGCCCAACAGCCTCCACGCCCGACTCCTGTGGCTCCTGCGCCCCAAGCCCTGTTGCCCCCGGTGCCCGCTACGGGCCTCTGGGTCCTTAGATGCGTCTGGACCTTCCCACGGCGAGTTCCTGTCCAGTCACGTGTTGGCCCGGGGCCTTCTTTCCTCCTCCCTGTCTCAGTTCCTTTTCTTCCCTCCCGCTTCTGTGCAACGGGCATGTCCTTGGGGGACCCTCTCCTGACTTCTGCAGCGCCAGGTCCCCTCCTGGCAGTGACCTCGGGTCCCTGAGTGCTCGCCCAGCGCGGTGGGTGGAGCTGGGTGCTGCTTCCCGGTGCCAGGCACCAGGTCCCCTCCTGGCAGTGACCTTGGGTCCCCGAGTGCTCGCCCAGCGTGGTGGGTGGAGCTGGGTGCTGCTTCCCGGTGCCAGGCACCAGGTCCCCTCCTGGCAGTGACTTCAGGTCCCCGAGTGCTCGCCCAGCATGGCGGGTGGAGCTGGGTGCTGCTTCCTGGTGCCAGGCACCAGGTCCCCTCCTGGCAGTGACCTCGGGTCCCTGAGTGCTCGCCCAGCGTGGCGGGTGGAGCTGGGTGCTGCTTCCTGGTGCCAGGTGCCCATCGCTCATAGGTTTTCTTTTCTGCTGGCCTCGAGGCTACTGATTCCTCTTCCTGTCCCCAAGACGAGCAGCTTCGACCGGGCTGCCCGATGTGGCGCTCCGGGGTGCAGCCGGGTCTGGGCTGGCAGGAGCACGTGCTCTCGCCGTCCTGGAGACGGAAGCCCTGGAGTCGGGCTCAGATGGCGCTTCAGAGCAGCCGCCAGGAACACGAGTTGGGTGGGAAAGCCCTGGGGTCCAGAGAGGGCTGTGGGCAGCGGGGGGGGGGGGGCGTGCACCCCCCACACCCCTGGTGCCCTGCCAGCGGCGTGTGTGGGTCTGGCAGGCCTCCCCTCAGAGCTTGGATTTACGCCTGCGCTCAGACACCTCCCCAGGTGGAGACTGTCTCTTTCTAGCGCCCCGTTCCCAGTGGCCCCCAGCCAAGGCAGCTGGGAGCAGGGTGGAGGATTAAAGTCTCGTGGCGCAGCCGTGACTGCCGCAGCCGTGACTGCCGGCCTCCGTTGCAGTTGGTCGGAAGGTTGCCTGCTAGGGATGCACCTCAGGAAAACAAACACGTGTTTTAAAGGGGCTGGAAAAGGTTTCTGATGCATGTGCCCCGGTGGCCTTGTGGCCCGCCCCGGCTGTGGTGCTGCCACTGCCCCAAGCGTCTGCTCTTCAGCGGGGGCCACCGCAGGGCCGTGAGGTGTGCAGGGGAGGGCCTCCCGGCCGTTGGCCTGTCCCCCCTCGGTGCGGGAAGCCGCAGCACAGCCGCTGCGGGGCCAGGACCCCTGGCCTGGTCGTCCTCCCCGTCCCCAGGAAGCCCCACCCAGAGACCCAAGAGCAGGCAGGCCAGAAGGCAGAAATTTCGTGTTCAAACGGGAAAATCAAAGAGAAAAGTGAGCATGGAGCAAAGTCGCCCATGGCGGGTGAGTCTCGTGTTGGAGCCACCCACACGCGTGCCTCTCGTGTCCCGCAGGACGTCCCTGCCCGCACCCATGTTCACCAGGAGCGACTTCAGCGTGTGGACCATCCTGAAGAAGTGCGTCGGCCTGGTGAGTACGGCAGCTCGCGCGACCCCCGTGGGCTGAACGCCCTGCGCGCTGCGCGTTCACGAACAGCGCGGAGTTACGGCAGTAAAACGGGAAGAGAGACATGTGTCAGGGCAGTGGCGTGCCGTGGGTTGCACACGTGGCCTTGGAGCCATCACAGGCTCCTTTGGCCCGCCGTGCTGGGAGGGGCTCTTGGTCACGGGCCACCCCGCCATCCGCACAAAATGGTCCCTGGCCACGCAGGGCTGCAGGTGCAGCGTCTGCCACACACCTTTGTCAGGCACTCAGGGTTTGGGCAGAAAAGCTACTGGAGAGCGAGTGTCCAGAGCCTGGACTTTCGCTTTTATGGTCCTCGCGCCCAGGCCTGCCCCACCCTGCCGCCCCCACCTGCCCGCTCTCGGCCGGCACCTGCCGCTGGGACTCAAGTTCATGCCTGCAGGTGCCGCAGGTCTGTTTCTCAGGTGTCCTCCTCCCGAGTTCTGGTGATGCCGTTTGTTTTTTGCTCTTGTCCACTTCAGTCCATTTTTCCCCAAAAGGAACTTCATTTTTTTCTTCAACTTTTTATTTTAAAATAGCCCAGAGTGTTCCCATGCACCACTGCCCAGCTTCCCCGGATGCTGGCATCTCACGGGGTAACCGTGGGACGCGGTTGGAACAGGACCCCTCCTTGCCCGAAGTCCGCATCCCTGCAGTTCTTCCTGCCCCGCCCCCGGCTCCCTCCGCGTGTGGTCCTCCCCTTCCTATGCCCCACCACCGAAGGCACCAGCGCCTCAGTCCCTCCGTCTCTTAGGACCTTGACGTCTTTTTTCTTCAGAGACAAGGTCTCACTCTGTCACCCAGGCTGGAGCTCAGCGGCATCATCACAGCTCACTGCAGCCTCGCGCTCCTGGGCTCAAGCGATCCTCCTGCCTCAGCCTCCCACTTGTGCGCCACCATGCCCAGCTAATTTTCTGTTTTGAGTAGAGATGGGATCTTGCTATGTTGCCCAGGCTGCTCTTAAACTCTTGGGCTCAAGCGACCCTCCTGCCTTGGCCTCCCAAATGTCCCCGTTTATTTAGTTGCTCGAATTGTTGTACTTCGTCCTCAGGGAGCTCATCCAGGTCGAGTCCTTCCCCTTCTGCTGGGGTGCTCTTTTGCACACTTGCACTCAGGCACTAAAGGACGCTCTGGTTCAGCTTATGCTTTCCTGCTTCAGCCCTGGAACCAACCCCTTCTGCAAGGAGCCCGTTCTGGGAAATGGCATTGGGGAGCTGAGTCTGGGTGCGGGGTGCGCCCTGTGCTGCCCAAGGGCCGTTGCTTCGGGCCTCCCCCAGACAGAGCTGGAAAATGGAATGTGTGTCCCAGCCCACACATCTGTGCTGCTGTGCACATCCGTCTGTCGTCTGTTTTTTTTTTGTTTTTTTTTTTGAGGCAGAGTGTCACTCTGTTGCCTGGGCTAGAGTACCATTGCGTTAGCGTAGCTCACAGCAACCTCAAACTCCTGGACTTAAGCAATCCTCCTGCCTCAGCCTCCCGTGTAGCTGGGACTACAGGCATGCGCCACCATGCTGGCTAATCTTTTCTATATATTTTTAGTTGGCCAATTAATTTCTTTTCTATTTATAGTAGAGACGGGGTCTTGCTCTTGCTCAGGCTGGTTTCAAACTCCTGACCTTGAGCAATCCGCCCGCCTCGGCCTCCCAGAGTGCTAGGATTACAGGCGTGAGCCACCGCGCCCGGCCTGTCTGTCATCTTTTAAGATAACACATCTGAGTTTTTTTTCTTTGAGCAGTATTTTCTCCTACATTTTTGACTATGTGGACAATTCAGGTCTTAACAAAAGTATCTGTCTGGAGATTGAGGACGAATGTCTTTTCATGCAATTGACAAACCACTTGATTCGAGACTCCAAGACCAAAGCACTTTTTCAACAGTGTGAGGCAATTTAGGTGGCGCTCCCTGAGTGAGCGACGGCGGGACGGACCGCGGTTGGCGCCGTGGCTCGCCCGTCACACGCCTTTCCAAAGCGCTCGTCTCCTGGGGTCCTGATGACACCCTCTTTTTACTGCTTCTCAGCTCATATCACAGAAGTGAACACGCGTGTTAATGTGGACGTCTCACACGCACGTGACCAGGCCGTAACAAGCCCGTTCGTCACAAGCGCCCGCGTGACCCGCTGTGGCCGGCGCGGCTCCCCCCGGGCCCCCGCGAGCCTCCTCGCAGTATGCAAACTGAATCCCAGACATCTTTTCGTTGCGAACGTTTCGTATGTGTTGCTAAAGGAGTTTTTGACACAGACACTGTATTTTTATTCTACTTTAAAAATAATACAGTTCTTGGCCGGGCGCGGTGGCTCAGGCCTACAATCCTAGCACTCTGGGAGGCCGAGGCCGGTGGATCGCTCAAGGTCAGGAGTTCGAAACCAGCCTGAGCAAGGAGCGACCCGTCTCTACTATAAATAGAAATTAATTGGCCAACTACAAATATATATAAAAAATTAGCCGGGCATGGTGGCACATGCCTGTAGTCCCAGCTACTCGGGAGGCTGAGGTAGGAGGATCGCATGAGCCCAGGAGTTTGAGGTTGCTGTGAGCTAGGCTGATGCCACAGCACTCACTCTAGCCTGAGCAACACAGTAAGACTCTGTCTCAAAAAAATAAAATAAAATAAAATAATAATAGTACAGTTCTTTAATATCATCAAATATCTACTCTTTGTGTTCAGATTCCCACTTGTCTCAAATGTCATTTTTGAGTGTTTTTGGATTATGTGTGTGTACCTTGTTTGGTCCCTTCTGTTGGGAGACGTTTTGTTGCTCTTTCTCTGAATTTAAAAGCTTTGGACACTCGGAGCCAGACGCTAGTTCACGAGGAGTGGCGTGTTGGAGGCCGCTGGCGCGCCGCTCTTTACGCACTGTCGGGAAGGCTCCTGTACCGGGAGCGTTCCCTCCTTTGCTGTGAGCGCAGTTTGTGCGGAAGGGTCGGGCCGTCGGTGACTGTTCCTCTCTGTCTGGGCCTTTGCTAGTGTGTCCTTCACCAGTGGCATCTGGTGTGACCAGTGTAACCAGCTGGTTTGCTTTCAACTGTGGAGTCGAAGCTGACATCGTCCAGTCCACACGCTGCTCTGTCTTGGGCCAGAGGCAGTGTCCTCGAGTCGGCTCAGGGTCCTTTGCAAAGGGTGCTTCAGACCCCCCGCCGCCACCCCCAGCACGTGCTGCCCGGATCCCGACCGGGCCGTTTCTCCAGGAAAGAGAATTCAGGACAGCTGGGCTCGAGGCGGGCCACCCGGTGGGCTTGTTTCCAGGTCTTTTGGGGGACAGAGCCAGGAACCGCGCTTTCATTTGTTTCAGCACCACTCCAGACTGGGGCGGCAGGCGTTACCCAGCCTCTCGTGCTGCACGTCTGTCTCTCCTCCCTCACTGGGGGCCCGGGGCCCGGGGCCCGGCAGAACGGTGGAGGGTTGACTTAGAGCAGCACATGGTCACTGACTCATTGCTTTGTCCCACATGATAACGGGATGAGCGCCGAGTATTTACTGAGATGGTGCCAGTCTGTGGCTTTCGTGGCTCTCTTTGTCCTCGGGGTAGATCTCAAACGACTGTGTGTTAAAAAGTCATCTGGGTGATTAGGCCACCAAAGGAATCAAGTAGATTCATTTGTTTCATTTTTGTTGTTTAGAGATTGCTTTTTAAAATTTAATTTTGTTTTAAAATCATGGGTCCTAAGTCATAGTTGTCAACGTATATTCCAAGACGCTCCGCTTCCTGCCCCTCCTTGCACTCTCTTCTTCCCCCACAGGTGACCCTTACACGTTTTCATGCTGTGTCTTGCACATGTTTTACAGTCGATTACGTGTCTTCTCCCCATTTCTTCAGATAAGTGCTGGGCTGTCCTCTGCCCTCCTCCCGTTCAGCCGTATGTCCATAGCAACGTCCGGCTGCTGCCTTGTCTTTTGTAACCCCACTGTGTTCCCTCACGTGGCTGCCCCGTGGCTCGCTGGACCGGTGTCCTGCAGTAGACATCTGGGTCACTGCTGTCTTTCCCTGGCACAGGCAGCGCCCCGGTCCGCAGCCGCGCCCGCTGAGGCTCTGGGGCAGGTCCCAGGAGCGGGGGCTCTGGGGGCCGCCTGGCCTCGCTCGGGGGCTGCACCGGCAGGTGGGGGCTTCCCCCCGCAGCCTTGCCCACAGCGCCAGGCGGGATCTGCGTGTCCTGCTCCTGGCCTGGGCGAGGTGGGGCCATTGCCTCTCCTGTCCGCTGTCGGCTTCCCTGGCCCTGGCGCTGTGGCCCGTGGCCGCTTCTCCGGTTTGACAGGCTTTCAGTGCTCAGGAGGGACTTTAACCCTTGTCAGGGCACAAACAGCCAATGTTTGTCGTTCTGCTTTTCTGCCCGTTATTCCAGGGCCTCTTTCTTTCGCCCTCTCTCTCCACGGGTGTGTGTCTTCCTCCCTTCCCGGTCAGTCCTGCTCCCTGCCCGCTCTCGGCCACGCCCACACGCCTGAAGCTGCCTCAGTTGTGCCTCCAGCTCCAGCCACTCCCTCGCCCCCGTGTCCGGCGTGTCCGGTGCCATCCGTGCACCAGCTGCCCACGCAGCCCGAGCTCAGGGCTCTGTCCCGCCCCATGTTCTCGGGCCGCGGTCGCTCCCAGCCCAGGTGTGAGCAGAGGCCTCCTCTCTGCACGATGCGTAACCGACATCCGGAGCTTCACAGCCCAGGCTGGTGTGTCCTTGGTGCTGTGCCACACACACTGCCTGGCCCTAGGGACGTGGACCAGCCGTGCCCATCAGCCTCCTGACAGGCCCCGTGACCTGCTGGGGACCCCGAAGCCCATCCCTGTCCCTGTCGCCACTGGGTAGCTCCCGTCTGTGTGCGTCCTCCTCCTCTGCCCCCGACTGGGCCTCCCCAGACCCTGGTCCTCCCTGGAGAGCCCGTCCTGGCGTGCACAGCTGTGCTCCTCCGGCGAGGCCGTCCGTCTGATCTTTCGGAAATGCTTCCCTAGAGAGCCGCTGGGAGGGGGCCCTGCGCTGGCCCCCCTGGCATCTTCCACTTCTCTAGTACTCCGAGCTGCGCAGCGCCGGGGCAGAAGCTGAGACGCCTTTGCCTGCTCTGGGGCCTCAGGGCAGAGCCTCGGGGCCGCGGCGTGGAAGGTCTCGCCTGCCAGGTGTTTCCTGGCACCTGGCGGGGGAAGCCAGGGAGTCTTATTCATGATGTGAAAGCTCTGCTCTGGGACGGCTGCTCCAGGAGCGCAGTGGGCAGTGTGCGTCGTCACGGCAGGACAACCGGGCCAGTCTGGGAGCTCCCGTGGCCATCCCGTGTCCAGAGTGGGGTGCTGGCCAGGGACGTGGAGAGAGCTCAGCAGTGTTGTGTGGGAAGACTGCTCTGGGCCTGGGGATGTCTGGGGGAGGCTGGGATCACTGGGCGGGGCTGGGAGGGCGGCCAGCTGCTTGGCCACGAGGTCCCGAGATGTGTCCAGCGCTGGAGTCTGCGGCTCGAGGAGGGGTGCCCAGAGCAGGGGCAGCGTGGGGCCCACACGTCAGGAGTGTGGCGAGCAGGTCTTCTCTGATCCTTCCAGGAGCTGTCCAAGATCACGATGCCGATTGCCTTCAACGAGCCGCTGAGCTTCCTGCAGCGGATCACGGAGTACATGGAGCACGTGTACCTCGTGCACAGGGCCTGCCGCCAGCCCCAGCCCCTCGAGCGCATGCAGGTGGGCCCGGGGCCTGCGAGGACAGCGACCGCACCTGAACATCGGCCACGTAGTTGTGGGGACCCAGGCTCTCGCCCGCACGTAGGGGCGACTGTGAGGAAGGCCACGGGGCTCCGCTGGTGCTGGGCGGGCCACCGCGTCCCCACGGAAATGCCGCGGCTCTTCGCGTCCCTGCTGCTCTGGCAGGAGTCCTGGCCCTCAGAGCTGCAGGCGGCGGGCCTGCTGCCAGGCAGTTCATGGGGCCTTTGGCACCATCACTGCCCCTCGTGTGTGTGTGTGTGTGCGACTGTGTATCGGTGTAGGTCTGTGTGTGCACGTGTGTACGTGAGCATGTGAGTGTGCACGAGTGTGTGGGCACGTGTGTGAATGTGTGGCCCTGCGTGTGAGAGACAGACAGACCGACGTCGGGGCCCCATCTGCGAGGAAGGGCCAGGCCACAGGCGTGGGGAACAGCGTGTGGTTCCTCCTCTCTGTGGCTTTGAGGGTGTGGCGGGTGACAAATGACATTCCTGGGAAGTTCTATAATCTCAGGATGCGTCGCTAGTGGGAGACTGGGAAGTCACCTGAGAGCAGGTAATGGCACCAAGAAGCCAGGTGCCGTCCACGCTTTCCTAGCTGACACTGTCCTCTCCCGCCTGTGCCCTCCCGCAGTCCGTAGCTGCCTTCGCCGTCTCGGCCGTGGCCTCCCAGTGGGAGCGGACGGGCAAGCCGTTTAATCCACTCCTGGGAGAGACGTACGAGCTGATCAGGTAAGAGGAGAGAGGCCCCGCCACAAGCGTCCCGTGAGTGGGATTCTTCCACCCGCGTCGATCCCTCTGCTCTGAGAGGGAATGGTTCAGACGCAGCTTGCTCACGCGTGTGCAAGGCCACAGGAAGAAGCTGTTTCGTGTGCGAGGCATGCTGTGTTGATGATGTAACAAAGCCCTAGGGAACGCAGAGTTGAGAGTAGAACATGTCACCGTGTTGGACTCCAGAGTGGGGATGTGTGCAGTGTACGTACACAGTTTCACATACGTGTGCAACGTGTACGAGATGTGTAGGATCGGCAGGTTTCGCTAAAATGGAAACAGGTGCTAATGTGCGAGGCAGGCCCTTTTTCCAAAGCGTCGTCCTGGTGCTGTTGAAAGAGCAGGTGAGCCGGGCGCGGTGGCTCACGCCTGTAATCCTAGCACTTTGGGAGGCCGAGGCGGGCGGATTGCCTCAAGGTCAGGAGTTCGAAACCAGCCTGAGCGAGACCCCGTCTCTACCAAAAATAGAAATAAATTAATTGACCAACTAAAAATATATATACAAAAAAATTAGCCGGGCATGGTGGCGCATGCCTGTAGTCCCAGCTACTCGGGAGGCTGAGGCAGGAGGATCGCTGAGCCCTGGAGATTGAGGTTGCTGCGAGCCAGGCTGACGCCACGGCACTCACTCTAGCCTGGACAACAAAGTGAGACTCTGTCTCAAAAAAAAAAAAGAAAGAGCAGGTGAGTCCAGAGAGGAGCACTGCACAGAGGGGCTCGATCCCCGGGCCTGCGCCCCCGCAGCGGGTGAGTGTGGTGGGGGCTGGCCTGCTGGCACTAGGAGACCCCCCACGTCCTTAGATGTCACTGAAGTCCCTGCCTGCGGGCTTTCGATCTAGGCCGACCCCCGCTCCTCCCTAGACCCCTGCTCCTCCTTACACCCCCTCTCCTCCCTACACCCCCGCTCCTCCCTAGACCCCCGTCTCCCTACACCACTCCCCCTACACCCCCACTCCTCCCTACACTCCCACGCCTCCCTAACACCCCCTCCCCCTACACCCCATCCTCCCTAGGCCCCCGCTCTCCTACCCCGTCCCCCTACACCCCATCCTCCTACACCCCACTCCTCCCTCACTCCCTGCCTCCCTACACCCCCCATCCTTCCCTACACCCCCACTCCTCCCTACACCCCTGCGCCTCCCTACACCCCCGCACCTCCCTACACCCCCGCTCCTCCCTACACACCTGCTCCTCCCTACACCCCTGCCGTTCCTCCCTAGACCCCCACTCCTCCCTAGACCCCCACTCCTCCCTACACCCCTGCCGCTCCTCTCTAGACCCCTACTCCTTCCCAGTACTGATGGGGGGGCCCCTCATCAGCTCATCTTAGCCCTGTGTGCTATAAAGGGGAGAGGGTTCAGCCATGAGCATATGCCTCCTTTTTGGATTCCGGTTTAGTTGAGATTCTGTTGGGATGTTTTATTAAAATAAATCTGTTTGCTTTTTTTTTTTTGAGACAGAGTCTCACTTTCTTGCCTAGGCTAGAGTGAGTGCCGTGGCGTCAGCCCAGCTCACAGCAACCTCAAACTCCTGGGCTCAAGCGATCCTCCTGCCTCAGCCTTCCGAGTAGCTGGGACTACAGGCATGTGCCACCATGCCCGGCTGATTTATATGTATATATTTATATATATATAATATATTAGTTTGCCATTAATTTCTTTCTATTTTTTTTTATGGTAGAGACGGGGTCTCGCTCAGGCTGGCTTTGAACTCCTGACCTTGAGCAATCCGCCCGCCTCGGCCTCCCAGAGTGCTAGGGTTATAGGAGTTTGCTTTTTTAATTACAAGAGAGTGTTCTTTATAGCTAAGTGCAGCGCTGGGAAAAGCGGAAGGAAGAGCTGTTCTCGTGGTAGCGGTTCCTTTTGTGGAAGTGCGGGTGCGAGTGTGCGTGTTCACGTGACATGATGGTGTCAGTATGCACCCTTTCTCATCTCACGTCACTCCACGGTCACTCTCCCATGAAGTCACAGCTTTTCCAATCGCAGCTTTTCATTGGTTCTGCGGCCATTTCTCACGCTCCGCATTTCTGCGTGTCCTGGCTCATTCGCGGCACTTTCTGTTCTGTAAAATGGAGTGACGGTGCGTTCCGCACAGTGGCATCTCGATTCCGAGACGTACCGTTCTTTTGAAATTTCAGGTCGTTATTTCGGGCCCTTTATTGTATCTTACGTGTTATCAGCGATTGAGATTTTCCCGGTGGTGAGTGAGTGTGGGATTCGGGGCCGTTGGTTTGCGTCGGGTGGGTCTGCTGGCGTGGGAGAGCTGCGGCGTGCGCCCAGGCCTGCTTCCTAGGCGGGCGTGGGGAGGACTCGTTCTCTGTGGAAGCACAGGCCTGCCTGCGGTCTGCACGCGGCCACTGCGCGGCTTGGGCAGCAACCTGAGTGCCATCGTTTCAGACTGCGAGCTGTCCCCCGCCCGTCCGGGTGGTCCAGCTGCTGGTGGGGACAGCGCCCGGGCTTTTAGTGCGGTTCAGGGGTGCGCTGCGCCGTGGAAGACCTGCTCTCGCAGTCCCGCTCCCTCTGGGAGAGGGCCACGCGGTGGCGCAGCCCAGCAGGAGGGGTGTGGGGAACAGCTCTGCTTCTGCAGTTTAGTAATGGGGAAACCGAGGCCGGGACGAGGGAGACTTGTCCCAAGAGTCACTCCTCAGGGAAGCTTTTGTTCTGAATTCATTCTGCCTTTTCTAGATACTTCTCTTGAGCCGCAGTTCCTGTGGCTGCCCTTCCACCTGCCTTGCCTTCTGCCATCAGCACTGACCTGCCTGGCTGTAGAGAATTATTATTAGTATTATTGTTGTTTTCTTTGAGACAGAGTCTTGCTCTGTCACCCCGAGTAGAGTGCCATGGTGCCATCGTAGCTCACAGCAACCTCAAACTCCTGGGCTCAACCAATCCTCCTGCCTCAGCCTCCCGAGTAGCTGGGGCTACAGGCATGCGCCACCATGCCCGGCTAATTTTTTCTATGTATTTTTAGTTGTCCAGCCAATTTCTTTCTATTTTTAGTAGAGACGGGGTCTCGCTCTTGCTCAGGCTGGTCTCGAACTCCTGAGCTCAGGCAATCCTCCTGCCTCAGCCTCCCAGAGTGCTGGGACTGCAGGCGTGAGCCGCTGCGCCCAGCCAGGAAATTATTAAAATATCTTGCAAAACGTAAATCAGAGCAGGAGAAAAGCTCTAGCTGACAGGAGGAAGAAGATGGACGAAGGGAGCACATGCAGCCCGAGATGCGACCGGGGTGCGAGCTGTGAGCGCTGGTCTTTCTCGGGACCTCCCCTCGGGCTGGGCCAGGGTTCCGCAGACGGAGGAAAAACCGAAACTCCTTCCGAGCTGCAGTGCACGCCGCTTGTCACATTTCTATTTCCAGACCGCGCTTGTCAGCGTCTGCTGCGTGTTGTGCCTCCGTGAGGCCCGCACAGGCCTCAGGGGAGACGCCACACGCGTGTGCCGACCCCCTCGCCAATATCTTCATGCCTGCCGATTCTTCTTGTGCAGCTAAAAATACTCTTTCTTTTCTTAGACAAGTGTTCATTTTGTAAATTATATACCTTGGTAGACAACCTTTTAAAATCCACTTTTTCTACTTTTCTTCCTCTCTAATGATTGGAAATTCTAATTCTAGTTAAGTTAGTAATTATGTGGTTTAGCTTTTATAATTTTTAATGACTACAACTGTAGGTGTATTCACGGTTCCGGAACAATTAAAAACTGACATTTTTATTGAAAAAGAGAATGTGCTGAAAATCCTGTTTCCTGGCCAGGAGTATTTTGGGGCATGAGACATTTCATCACGAGATCTCGGGAGCCGTGCAGACACCCTCCCAAGAGGCCCTGGGTCCCCGCTGGGCCTGCGGGCGGGTCGGGGTGAGAGCCTGGAGGCACGCCTGGAGGAGGCGCTTCCCCACCAACGCCACGGGCACCTGTGGCCCAGCGCCCATGCGGCCTGGGTGGCCCCACGCGTGTGTGCGGGTCAAGGCAGGGCCCTGCACTGTTGCTTGTGCTGTGGGGTCAGGTGTGGTCCAGGGAGGCACCTGTGTGTGTCTGTCTGGTGTCAGCATCAGGCCAAGTGTGAAGTCAGAGGGCAGGTGGTGGATGTTCCCGCCTCCAGGAGCCTCCCGCCCGCGCCAGGCACTCGAGCGCCTAGTGACGAGCGGCGGGCTGTGCCAGGCCTCTGCGAGCTGACCTTCCTTTGGCCTTGCGGTCGCTGACGTGGCTCTTTCTTTTCCCTCTCCTTCCTTTCCTCCTCCTGCTTTCCTGTCGGCCCTAGGGAAGATCTGGGATTCAGATTCATATCCGAGCAGGTCAGCCACCATCCCCCCGTCAGCGCGTTTTACTCCGAAGGCCTCGGCCAGGACTTCCTGTTCCACGGCTCCATCTACCCGAAGCTGAAGTTCTGGGGCAAGAGCGTGGAGGCGGAGCCCCGGGGGACCATCACGCTGGAGCTCCTCAAGTGAGTGGCGCGCCTCGCTCGGCCTCTGCGGCAAGCTGGGACGTGTGTCGTGGGCTGGGAAGGAAGCCGCCTTCCTTGGGCGCCGAGGCGCTTCCTTCTGGCGGGGAATCCTGTGCTCCTCCTGCCAGGCAGCCAGCTCTTCCCGCTGCAGCAGCGCCTTCCAGGGAGGCTCCCGATCAGGGTGTCGCCTGGGGAAATTCTTCTCACCTCTGATTGCTGTCGTGTTTGCACACAGCAAACCCAAGTGTGGCAGCGCAAAACCGGGTTTATCGTCTTGCATGGGGAGATTCAGGGCTGGGGCCAGGCCGCAGATCTCTGGGAGGCTGCAGTGGAGGCAGCCGAGCTGCAGTGAGGCCGGGCGGCCGCACACCTGTGTCCAAGCCCCCCCCCCAGGCTGCCCACAGCTTGGCAGCTGGCGTCCCTCAGGGACAGCGCACACGGAAGCCACCCTCCCCACACCCAGCCTTCCGTGTGCGGCCGGTCTCGCTGGGCTGGCGGAGCGGGAGGGTGACGTGGGGTTTGAATTCCGAGAGGGATCGCTGGAGGGGCCGTCCCGGGGGCTGCCCCCACTCCTGCCCCCACCCCAGTCTACACCCTCTCCATTCCACCCAGTGGCAGTCACAGATGCCTCCGAGCAAAAAACGATTCCCCTGCAAATGGCTGGATGTCAACCCCCCCAGACACACAGTCCTGGCAGTGACATGCGGTGTTCTGTGTGGTGGCCAGTTCTCTGCCATAGGAGTCTCGTCAAGCCGCAACCTGCTGCAGCAAAACATTTGATGCGGTTTCCGCCGCGTGTCGGCCTGGCCTGGCTGGTTGCGGGAGGTGCCCCACGGCTCTGGGGGAGCAGGGTCTTCCGGCACCGCCCGGGGACTGCACCTCGGGCTGGTGGGGTGGCCAGGCCCTGCCAGGGTGCCGTGGGGCTGACACTGCTGCTGTCTCAGCGTGGCCTTTGCCTTCCTGGGGTGAGGCATGCAGAGCCGAAAAGTTGCAAACCTGATTGGTGAACAGGTTTGGGTTCCACCTGGGAAATCTGAGGAATCCCAAATGCACGCCATGAAACACTCCGGCTCCGAGTTGCGGCTCCTTCACGCAGCCTCTGTTGAGACGGGGATCCGGGGATCTGCGTCTCACGTTTGCGGGTTTTTCCTCCTGGCAGGGCCATTTGGGAGGGTGGGGAGTAAAAGAAAAGGGCGTGTGGGGTGCTGCTGGGAACCGGGGACCCCCCACACCTCCTCCTGCCACCCTCCAGCTCCCCAGAAGGCTGGGACCCGCGTGCAGGGTGGGCGGCACCGCGGTGCGTCTGGTGAAGTGGCTTGACTCCTGACAGCCTCACAAGGATGCTATTGCTCTGGTTCAGTCTTTTTTTATTGCTTATTAACTTGTCTTGACATTTAAGCAGAAAGCTTTGTTGATGCTACAAAGGAAAAAAGAAGTAAATTTCAAACAAATGCTAAATAAGCAGGGGCCGGGGGAGGGACTTCAAAGCAGCCCTTGTGCGGGTCCCGCAGCCGTGCTCCACTCCACTCCGCCCGCCCCCGCAGTTTGGGTCACACGGTGTCTGCTTTTCGGGCCCCTGACCCACTTGCTTTCCGGCCTTCTCACAGACACAATGAAGCCTATACCTGGACCAACCCCACCTGCTGCGTGCACAACGTCATCATCGGGAAGCTGTGGATCGAGCAGTACGGCACGGTGGAGATCGTGAACCACAGGTAATGGTGCCCGCTCGTGGCCGGGCTGTCCGAGACTCTGGGAGGGGCTGAGTGAGCCGCGGGCACCCGCTTTGGGGCGGCTTTTAGCTCCCGGTGATGGGCCGCTGCTGCCAGACCCTCTGCCTGTGGTCTGGCCACGACGTCACCGGGTGCTCCGTGGTGGTGGCGGCGTTTTCAGTCAATACTCACTGTGTTTTGAGAGTTTAGCCGACACCAGAGTGGTGCCATCCCCAGGTGAAACGTGGTGACCGTCCCCAAACATCGTCTGCCGTCCTGTCTCTAACACTCGTTCCTGGAAGTTCACACCGGGCCGACATGGCTTCTCAATAGCCTTAGTGAGACACACAAGCGATGTGTCCCAGAACTCACCCATTGCAAGTGGAGACTTGGATAATTTTTAGTAAAGTCACTGAATTTTGCAGCCATCCCCGCCAGCCGGGTTTGGGACATCTCTATCTTTGTGGGTATGACAAAGGCCCGTCACACCCATCTGCAGTCACTCCCTCGCTGCCTGCCCAGGTGGCTCCAGCCTGCTTCCCTCTAGACATTTCGTATCTCACAACAGAAGCCTGTGTTTGGTTTTCCTGCAGGACTGGACATAAGTGTGTGCTGAACTTCAAACCATGTGGACTGTTTGGAAAAGAGCTTCACAAGGTGGAAGGGCACATCCAAGACAAAAAGTATGTCTGCGTCCGTATTGGTTCCCGGTGTGCTTGTGTGGCGCGTGTGCCGTGCAGGGATGTGGTTGTACCAGTGACTCCGCTTCCTTCTCTCCACTAGCGTGCACTGCGTGTCGTCAGGCCAAACTCCAGACCTTAGCGTGTGTGGGCGTCACTGCCATGTGGCTGGCCCATTCCAATCTTTAAATCAGGGACTTTTATAGGTTTCTGTGAGCAGAGAAATGGTCAGTACTGTTTTAACAAGTTTTTTTGGGGGGTTCCTCCTATTGGGTTAATTACTTTATGTTCTGGGTCTCAAATTTCTCAATTTTTTTTCCACTAAGGAATTTGAGCCACATATAATGTCAAGAGGTTTCATCGAGCTCCTAAAATCTGTACATTTTCAGTTAGAAACCCGTCTCCAATTTAAAACAGTGGGTGCTTTTGCTCCGACCACCCTCTCTTGGTGCCAGAAGCTCGCCTGTTCAGACAGCCTGTAAAACGTGTCCGGCTTGGGACCCACCCTTTCTCTGCAAGTCACACGAGGACTCGGTGTGTGCACCTCCATGGCAGTCCTGCTGGTGGGCGTGGCGCTGCCCAGCACCCAGGGCAGCCTCTCCCTTATGGGCATCAGCCGGGAGAGACTGGCCTGTCCCTTCTCAGAAGCAGGTGGGGGAGCCCAGGCTGGGCCGCGGACCCTCGGAGAGCTCGTGGAAGCCGTGTCTGGTTTCCTGGCTTTGCATCCTGAATTCAAGTGTGCTCCTTGCTTGGAGGGCAGCGTGTCCCCAGCCATTTCCCCGTGGTCTCCGCATGCGGGTCTGCAGGCCACGTCTACACTTGGCTCTGAGACACACATGCCCTCGGGTGTCCTGAGCCTGCCAGAGCACCACTTCCCTGGAGGAGGCAAAAAAGCAAAAGCAAAGAGAGAGTGCCATGTTGTAGTGGTTTCCCTTCCGTTTGGGATCGGGCAGAGAGCCCTGGCAGCCGATCTGTGACAATCTCCAGACTTGGTATCAGGTGGACAGAGCAGGCAGGTACCAGGACAGAGCAGACAGCACCAAGCGAACACGAGAAAGGCTGTTTCTGTGATACTGGTACCGAGAGAAAGGGCTGAAGGACATACCGTGCAAGAAATTCACTGTGTTTAAGAAACGATATCAGCTCAAGTTCGGCTCACAAAGGAAAAATCATAATATATGGACACATACGGCTTTAAAGTTAAAAACGTGCATGTTCTTCCTGTCACCTCCTGTTTCCCACAGTGCTGCAGGCCCCTTTTAGGTTTTGCACCTTCCTTTTCTTTTCTACGTCGGTGCATCAGGGTTAGGAATAGCTACCCCCGAATGGCATGAGTAGAAGTCCTAAAATGCACCTTTTCATTTTTGCATTTCTGTCCAGAGATATCCCAAAAATGTAGAAGATATCCCATGGCAGAAGGGACGTTTGTTCTGTGGTCAAAGTCAAGGTGCTGCATGTTCAGATGGGTAGTTTGTAGCCGCTCTTAACCTGGTCTTGAAAATCCCGTTTGCCTGCAGCAAACAGAAGCTCTTTGTGATCTATGGCAAGTGGACGGAGTGCCTGTGGGGCACAGACCCCGCCTCCTACGAGTCCTTTAAGAAGCAGGAGAGGAGAGGCGGCCACCTGCGGAAGGCTAAGCTGGTAAGGGCCTGCGTCCGGCCGACGCCTGCGGAGCGGAGCTGGGGTGAGGGCCGCCTGGCCACTGCCACCACCAGCTCGTGCATGGGGGGGGGACCAAGAGCCCCCGTGGCCCAGGTGGGAGGGACGGATGTTCAGAACTTGTCTGTGTAGATGAAACTGCTTGTGTGTGAGTCCTGGCATTGGTGGTGGGGTTTGCGTCTCGACTGAGAGGACGCGGCTGTTGTAAACCGTGGGCTCGGGGCGTCATGGCGTCTGTCCCCCCAGATACTCTGGAAGAATCCGGGGGAACCTCACGTCAGGCCATTTCTTTTGTGGTAGCTCCAAGTTCTGGGCCCTTCTTAATGAATCTCCTTTCCTCTGTTGCCTGCGTTAGCCCAGACGTATTTGAAAGATCGAGTGAACTTCAGTTTTGTTTTTTACTTCTGAGGGGCAGGCGATGTGCTCGGCAGTGCGGAGGCGCTGGCGGGACTGTCTGCCAGGGCCTTGGAATACTGATGGTCCCGAGCCCAGTGTCTCTTGCGCTCAAACTGCAAGTGGTAGTTCCAAAGGCGTGCCGTATTTCCCAGATAATACACTGGAACGTTCCAAACCTGAGATGCCCAATGTTTATTTAACAAAAATATTCAACCTCCTCCAGGATTCTGGTTTTGATATTGTGACGTTTAATGTGTGCTGTTAGGTACCTTTTCTAATAATTCGCTTTTACTTAAAAAGAGAAAATAAAATTCCGTTTAGAGACTGCACAGACTCAGAGCGTCAGGCCCATTTAGGGATGTCTTTTAACTCTTCCGCTCTGCCTTCGTGCTGCTTCGGGCAAGCTGCAGATGGGGGTGTTCTCTGCGAACACCCGTCCGGAGCTGCGTGCCCGCAGCCACGTCCAGCCTCAGAGCCACGCCGGCATGGGCACAGCCGGGGCGAGTCAGGCGGGGAGTCTTGGGCTTTGGCGCCCGCTGTCAGTGTTCTGCCGCAACAGCTGCCTCTGAGAAGCCAATTCTTTCCCCAAGACCTATTTGTGTCCTTGTATTAGGATGAGATGTGCAGTCGGGACTCAGCCTAGCAATGCTGAGATACCGTGAAATAGCCACGTGTGATCCGCTTCTCAGCTGAGAGCAGAATGTAGCCCTTAGCACAGAAACACGCCTTTCAGGAGGTCCCCGTCAGCTCAAATGGACCTGCCGCTTTGGGAGGCGTCGCCCCAGCTCGCCGTGCGCGGACTCGGGGAGCGTCTCAGCGGCGGTGCGCGGCTCCCGAGAGGCGCGTGCCTCCGCCCCGCCTGCCTCTCTCTGGGGTCCCGGCGGCGCGGCACGGCCCTGCCCAAGGCCACGAGCCCTCTCCACACTGACAGGCAGGGTCGCAGACCGGGGAGGCACTCGGTTTTCTCCTTGGCTAAAAAAAGAAAGGCCGCGTCGCCGTGCTCGGGGCTGGCGGCTGGTCTGAAAGGCGCTCCGAGAATAGCTCTGCCCGGGCTGGGCCCGCCCGGCGGCTGCACAGCACGCTCTGTGTTTCAGGACGACGGTGCCGAGAAGGCGGACAGCGACGTGGCCGACGACGTGCCCGAGGCGCAGGAGACCGTGCAGGTCGTCCCCGGCAGCAAGCTGCTCTGGAGGATCAACACCCGGCCCCCCAACTCCGCCCAGGTCTGTGCCCCGCCCCCGCTGCCCCTCCTCCTGCCCACGCCGTCTCAGCTGACAGGTCACAAGGGGGCCTGGGCCCCGCCGCCGCCCTGCTGGCCACGGGGTCTGGGAGCCGCCACCGCGCTGGCCACTGGGTCTGGGAGCCGGTGCCCCTGCGCCCGCTGCCCCTCCCCCTGCCCACGCCGCCTCAGCAGACAGGTCACAACGGGGCCTGGGCGCCGCCGCTGGGCTCACTGCGGGGTCTGGGAGTCGGCGCCCCGGCGGGATGGGCGGGCTGCACCAGGGGATGCGCCTGGTGCAGCCCGCATCCCTGCGTGCTCACGGCCACGTCAGAGCCGCCCCCAGGCACACGCTTGTCCTCTGCCGCGAGTGGCACGCACACGGCTGTCCTGCCAGGCCCTCTTCTGTGTCATGGAAAGGGGCTCCAAACCGTTGGGGGACTGTTATTCTGACCTGTCAGTTTAGATGCTTAGACGCGTCCTGATGTTTGTCTTTGATCGTTGCACTTGTAATTTCCATTACATATAAAATATATTACGTATGTGGTACAAGTAAATAATACAACATATGTGATATATTGTGATAAGGATATATTCACGCAATATATTATTATGTGATGGATGTGTAACATACTATTTAATAAGTTTATTTTAATCTTACATTATTTATATATAAATTACATATAACTTACGATAGACATTTCATTGTATTTTGTGTCCTGTGGAGCTAGCGGCGCGAGTGTAGAGAAAAAGAAACAACAAAACACTGGGCACGTCAGCCCAGTACAGCTGCGCCACCCTCTCGGTGGAGCGTGAGCTGGCGTCGCGGTGCTAGTTAAGGGTTTTGTCTAGAAAAACTCAGCCTTTTCAGGGAAATTCCCCTTCCTCTGTCCTTTGGTTCAGGGGGTTTATTGAATCCCTCCTGCCTGCCAGGTGGGCCCGGGGCTCTAGGAGCCAACGCAGAGACCTGGAGGGCCTCGCCGCAGGGAGGCGGCCGGCGGTGGACACACCTGAACGCCACAAGGCCTTATAGGGCGCCGGGGAAACACGCCAGGGCGGGGAAGGTTGATGCTGTGGCTTCAGTCACGAGGGGGCGGGCACCCAAGGGAGGGCAGGGGGACAGCTAGGCGCAATCCCAGGCGCAGACTGGGGCAGAAGGGCCACAGGCCCGGAGCTGTGTGGGTGGGGGCGGGGGCTTCAAGTGACACGGGGCACCGGGAGTCATTTGAGCAGAGACTAGGTGGGGCTGAGGTGTTCCGCGGCCCTGCTGGCCGCTCACCAAGACCCTATGGGACGAGGGCACAGAGAGGGCGGGGGTGCGAGGCCAGGGACGGTGGGGCCAGTGTGTGCAGCAGGCCCCGCACGTGCTGGGCTGCAGACGCCCCCCCCAGACACCTGGGAGAAGCTGGGCAGACGGAAGTCCGAGGCGGGCGTCGGGCGTCTGGGCTGAGGAAGGGAACTTGGGTGACCTCGGCACGGGGTGGGTGTTCCACCCGAGCTGGGGGGCCACAGCCTGGGGTCCCGCAGCCCCAGGGTGCAGGGGAGGCATGGGCTTGGGACCAAGGGTTTAGGGCAGGACACAGGTGGCCTAGACAGGATGGTTTCCAGCAAGCGAGCGGCATGACTCTTCTCTCTGTGAAACTGTGAAGGAAAAAGAAACACATGCTAATTTTGCTGTCGCGCCTCAGACTGTAAAAGTCCCAGCCACGGCGTGCGACAAGTGCGTAGTTGAGATGGAGAAGGCGCTGGTCGTGGGCGGGAGACGTGATCGGAAACGCGGGCGCCCTGTGGGCTTGGCACTGTCCGTGGCCGCTGAGCCGCGTCTCTGTGCTGCTCTCGCAGATGTATAATTTCACCAGTTTCACCGTGAGCCTCAACGAACTGGCGACGGGCATGGAGAAGACCCTGCCCCCCACGGACTGCCGCCTGCGCCCCGACATCCGCGGCATGGAGAACGGCAACATGGGTACGCTCGCGGCTGGTGCGGGGGTTGGGGGGACTCGAGGCCGGGGACAGGAAAGCACAAAGGCCTGGCCCGGGGTGTGAGCCCCTTCCAGAGACCCTGCGGCCTGCAGAGCTCAGTGAGGGGTGGCCAGGCCTCGGGTAAAGACGTTAACATTCGATTGCCAGGAAAAGGAACAGGAGCGTATACAAAGCACAAGCCCCCCTTTTTAATTACCAAATTCAGCAGAAGTGAGGGTTGGGGTCACTGGGGACCCCATGGCCCACGCCCAGCTGGGCGCTCATCCCTCTGCACGGCCGCGAACTCGCTTTTTCTCGATCACTGACTGATCTGCATCAAATGAGCAGCAAAGCCGCTCCTGGGCCTGCTTGTCAGAGTGCCCCCGGCTTGGCGTTGGCTGTATTTTAGCGGAGAAACCCGCCTGGGGGTGTGGCCCGGGCAGAGAGGCTCGTAGCCACTGTGAGGTGAGTGGCCGTCACCGGCAGCCACACGGCAGCTTATCCCGAGAGGTCAAGGCTGAACGAAACTTGCCTTTAATGAAAGAGACAGATGCTGGGTTTACGTCCTTTGGGTTTTGCTGCCCGCCTGCCTGCCTCGGTGTCGGGGGACTTAAATTGCCGCGCAGGCTTCAGACACCTGCGGGCCACGGCCCGCGCAGCATTGCTCCAGAGCCATGGCGCGCGGAGCCGCCCGCAGGTGCGGAGGCAGCCGGGCCCTGGCATCTGCCTTTGGTCTCCTAGTCACAAGGCTCTTTACCTGGCTTTGCACCCAGAGGGGGCCTTGTACCTGGGGGTCAGGGGCACGTGGGGTCCGAGGTCTCTGTCGGACGTGGGCAGGTGGCTTTGCTGCCAGCCTGACTTACCCAGGGGCTTGTCTGCTTGGCCCTAGACCTGGCCAGCCAGGAGAAGGAGCGGCTGGAGGAAAAGCAGAGAGAAGCGCGGCGGGAGCGTGCCAAGGAGGAGGCGGAGTGGCGGACCAGGTGAGGGCTGCGGGGCCAGGCGCTGGGCAGCCAGGAGGGCCACACACACCTGAGGGAAGGAAGGAGGGCCTCCCACATACCCCTTGTGGCCAAGCAGTAGCTGATAAAGGTGGTGACAGCAGCAGCCACCCCCGGCTGCCACCGTATAGATAAGGGTCCCAGGTAGGGCACACCTGTCTGACGCCACCCAGCTGGGAGTGGCCTGTGCACAGAGGCCCGTCACCCCAGACCTGGGCCTCACCCTCACGCTTCAGTGGCGTATTTGACCCCACGCATTCTTCTCAGACACTGCACATTTAAGGAGAAGGTGTCATCTGCACCCCCCACTCGCTCAAGGAGAGCACACCTGAGAGTGTTGGTGCCGCCCCATGGGCCACGGTCCACGCTCCGTGCTGGGAGCACCCGGGCTCAGGGACCCGGCCCTGTGATGCCACGTGGCACGGAGCACCAGGCCAAAGCCACGTCCTCGCTCAGCCACGCTTAGGGTGGCCTTCACACCCGTGGGCAGGAGAGGTTTTGCTGTGAGAATTCAGTGCCGTGGCCGAGAGACGTGGGTAGGGATGGGGACACGGAGGGGGGGGCACACATCTACACCCTTCCTGCGGGGCCCCCAGAGCTGTCGGACGGCAGGAGCTTTGTTCCTGTTTCCAACTCAGCTGCCTCAAACTGATTTTGTTTTTTTTATTGTTTGGTTGTCACAATATGAGAATAATTCAGGTAACAAGGATTCCGTCAATAAAGTGCTGTAATTAAGCATAAGTAAAATATATGCACACACATAAGGAAAACATGTCTGTTACAGAAAGTTCTGGGTACTTTTGAGCCGTTTCAGTCTGTCTGGCGATGCCCTTCCTAGTGTTTGTTTCCAAGGCCAGTGACAGCCCTGTCTGGTGACTTTGGTGGCTGCCACTTGGAGCCCAGTTCTAAATGCTTGGGCTCCCAATTCTAGTTAGCACGAGGCTTTTGATAGTTGGATATTTGGAATTTGCCCTGGTCCCCGATAAAAACAGCTTAAAAATAGTTGACCTTCCTTCATGCTGCTATTTTTTTAAATATTAAAAAATATATAGTGAAAATAATGATCTTTCATCCTCGGGAAATAATTCCTTCTACCGAGTGAGCTCCCCAAACGCTTCCCAGGTCCCTGAGCGCCAGCGGGGCCCGCCCGTCCCCAGGCCCAGCAGGTGCTGGAGGGCACGGCCACCGTCACTGCCTGTCACCTCTTCCCTTGTCCTCAGAAACAATCGTGGGTCTGCTTTAAATAGAAGGCCACGTGAGCGAGTGACTGCCCTCAGCTTGAGGAGGCCCCGCGTCACTTAGGACGCGGTGACCGTCCTCTGGTAACGGCTGGTGTGACGGTTCTGTGCTGCGTTAACGCCTCGAGATTTGGGGGACGCGCAGCTGACGTGGATGACGCTCGTAGGTCACAAGTGAAATGTGCTCAGTGGTCCCCAGTGAAGTGGTCGCCCTGGGCTGCACTTTCCAGACACGTGTGGCAGTGACGGTGCCTGCTGGGAGGGACACGACCGTCGCCCCGCAGGCCAGCGGCCGCTGAACGTGGTCTCTGTGTTCCGCAGGTGGTTCTCCCCGGGCACCAACCCCTACACGGGCACAGCCGACTGGCTGTACGCCGGCGATTACTTCGAGCGGAACTTCTCCGACTGCCCAGACATCTACTGAGGTCGAGGGGCGCCAGGGCCGGGCCTGCGAGGCTGGGCCCCTCGAGCGGCCAGGCTGGCCTTGGTCACGGCGGAGACGGACTTTCGGACGACTGTGCTCACGGGGACCGCGCCGTCCCGGTGAGCGGTGCGTCTGATCAGCTGCCGGTTGCCCAGCCATCTGCTACTGTGCAGTCTCTTCACGCAGCTTCACTCGGGACCATCGATTCATCCTGGTCTGAACAGGGGACTCATCCGACGCGGCGAAGACCAGCGGCGCTCACAGGGCTCACGGCGCCATCGCGGGGCGTGGGCGGAGGGGAGCTCGGGAGGCCCCGTGGCCTCCTCGCCTCTAGGGTCAAGGGCGGGCTTTGGAGAGCGTTCTCAGCTGGGACCAGTGGGGAAGAGAGGGGCTTGAAAATAACGCCGCGGAGGGCGCGTGAAGCCGGGAATCGCTCTCTAAACCGTGCTGATACAGAAGGGAAGATCTTCAAAGCATCAGATCGAATGAAATGAAAAGTTGTCAGATTCTGTATTTTTTACCAATCTTCGATAATGTAAAGATTGCCTTTAAAATATTTAAGTTAAAATTACTTGAATAGTATTTTGCTGAAGAGCAAGATAAGCATTAATCACCAATCGTACACTGTCCAAACCGAAGCATCGCCGTGACGGCCCAGCGTGAGCAGGAGCAGCGAGAGCCGCACGGAATCCCCGACGCTCCTGCCCGCGGGAGGCGGCATCCCCGGACGCTCCTGCCCGCGGGAGGCGGCATCCCCGGACGCTCCTGCCCGCGGGAGGCGGGCAGCCGCGGTGCCCTCACTGCAGAGCCTCACCGTCCCCGCGCACCGCGCCCACGTCTCACAGGGCCGTCTCTCAAGACGCGCCGCCTGCACCCACGGCACTCTCGCGTCCTGCTCCCAGCATGCATGTGCAGAACACAGCGAGTCACATCCCGCCGTGCGCTGGGGAGGGCCAGAGGTGGAGCCCACTCGCAGCGGTGTAATTAAAGTCATTTAACCAAAAGTAGGTGTGTGTCCATCTCAGCACTCGTCTGTGTCAGGGGACTAACCTTATTTATGTAGAAATGTCGACATGGTAGGTCATGGTAGAGCTCTTTGAATCAAAGACAATCTGCTGTGTGCGCGTGTGCACCACATGCGTGTACACGGCCGTATGGAGTGTGGGTTACTAAATCGGGCACTTCTCAATGAGAGGTCATCCTTGTGTGTCTGCGCTTCAGAATCACATTTTTAATTAAACACTTTTGGAAAGTGGGTACCTGTTCTGAAAGCTTGGTTTGTGGCTTGGGAAACGGGGCGCGGCGGCACTTCAGCCGGGTGTGGCGGCATCCTCGGGGCGCAGTCCCTCGCCGCCTGCTCCCGAGAGTCCAGCGGCGCCACTTGGAGACTTCCGGTGCGCCTGAGGAGTCAGGATTTCGGCATCGTGAGAAGAGGAGATCCCGAAACGCCCGCTGGTTAGAGCGTGGAGCCCCGCGCAGGCCAGGGGAGGCTCCAGCTCTCCAGGCGGCTGCAAAGGCCTGTCCTCCGGGGAGAGAGCCGAGGCGCCAGCGGCGAGACTCGGAGACACACTCAGAGCAGCCGTGCTCAGGCAAGTCTAGCAGCTTCTTGCAGATCATCCCATTTTTCACTGCTTAAAATAACTGGCCAACAGTTCTGTGTTTCTGAGTCTCCTGGGGCCAGGCTCCGGGTGGTTCCGCCTCACCGACAGCCCCCGCCCACCCGGCCTGGCTGGTTCCTGTGCCTACTCAGTGTCCCCCGGTCAGACGCTGGGGCAGGAAGGGTGGGAAGGCTGCCAGGAAAGCACGGCCACGTTTCCAGGTTATCCTAATTTCTGGTTACAATCTTTTGTTGCTGCTATTTCCACAAAGACACCTAAGAATGCCATCACTTAAACTTTGTCACCCTTGATACGCTGATGTCACTATCTCTAATAAAGAGTTTTTCAGGGCCGGGCGCGGTGGCTCACGCCTGCAATCCTAGCACTCTGGGAAGGCCGAGGTGAGTAGATTGCTTGAGGTCAGGAGTTCAAAACCAGCCTGAGCAAGAGTGAGACCCCGTCTCTACTATAAATAGAAAGAAATTAATTGGCCAACTAAAAATATATACAAATAATTAGCCGGGCATGGTGGCACATGCCTGTAGTCCCAGCTACTCGGGAGGCTGGGGCAGGAGGATTGCTTGAGCCCAGGAGTCTGAGGTTGCTGTGAGCTAGGCTGACGCCACGGCACTCACTCTAGCCTGGGCAACAAAGCGAGACTCTGTCTCAAAAAAAAAAAAAAGTTTTTCAGTAGAAGATGCATCTTAAAAGGCGACTGGCCCCGCACTGTGGAAAGCAGTGGCCTTCTCCGGGGCCACACGTTTGTGTGACACTGCGCCCTCGACCTGGGGTCTCTGTGGTTTTGAAAGCAATCCTGTAACCGAGAACCACTTCATGGAATGAAAGGTCCAGCCAGCTTTCTTCCCCATAGAACGTGGTATTTCGGTTTTGCTCCCAGTGGAGGCTGGGTACCGGCTGCGCTTCTGCGGGTGTGAGGCTGAGCAGACGCCCGTCCTCCGAGAGCGCGTGCGGCCTCCCTCCTGTCAGGGCTCGCCGTGCTGACCAGGTGCCATGGGACGGACCGTGGGCCCCAGTTGCCGGCCACGCGGGGTCTGCCCGACACTCCCCTCTAAGACCGGGTCGAGGGCTGAGGTCACCAGCGCCCACGGCCTTCTTCCCTGGGCCTGCCTCGGGTGGCGGGAAGGCTCGGGGAAGCAGGCCCTGGCCTGGAGGGACATCACCGAGTGTTGCCCGCCCAGGCCGCCGTGAGGGCCGGACCCTCCAGAAGTCTCATCTCCACAGGAGCGTGACCCAGACGTGGCGCCTGACATGGACCAACACGGCCCGACCGCTCTGTGCACACGGGTGCCCCGGAAGGGGGCGTCTGAGCCTGGCCGTGCGCCGCAGGGAGGGAGGGGCAGCCAGGCAGCGCCCCGGGAGGACCAGTCCTGCCGGCTTTCCGGCCACTGTCTTCCCTTTCCGACTCTGTCCCCAAAGCCCATGGCGGCGCTTGTGCTTCTTCTCAAAGGGCTGGGGCACAGTCGGCCACACGGGCATCGTGGCATGAGGACGCTACTGCCGGACCCTGGGGAGTGCTGGGCGCGGCCCCGACGGTCGCAGGGAGCCTGGCTGGGCCTGGTGCCCGTGCTGCCGGCCACTCATGCAGATGACCTCGAGCAGGAAGGGTATGAGAAAGTCGTGCCGACGTCTGTGTACAGACTGCGTGGACAGATGTTCCCACTTCTCCAGGGAAAGTACCTCGGAGTGGAATGGCGGGTCACACAGGAGCTGTGAGTTTAACTTTATGGAAACCTAATCTGCTGCCTCCCCAGAGGAGACATTCCAGAGTACACGTGTGCCTCGGACAAGCTGCTCCACGCCGCGCGTCATCGGCCAGTTGCACGTTGAAATGGCAGCACCCCTGGTTCACCGTTAGGTGACTGAAGTCCTGAGCCTTCCCTGCAAGAAGACGAGCCCCAAGCATGGCCAGCACCGTTGCTGCCCGGGACGTGCGGCCACAGGAGCTCTTGCCGCAAGTGGCGCTGCCTCGTGGCGGCTCCTTACAGAACTAGACGTTAGTTACTCAGCGTCAAAACCAAAATGAGCTGCCAAGCCACAAGAACACATGCGGGAGTCTTACGTGCGTATTTCGAAGTGAGAGAAGCCAATCTGAAAAGGCTACACGCTGTGTGATTCCAAATCCGTGACATTCCGGAAAAGGCAACACTAGGAGAGAGTAAAAGATCAGCGGTTGCCAGGGGCCGGGGGAGGGAGGAGAGGGATGAGTTGGTGGAGCACAGAGGATATTTGGGGCAGTGAAACTTTTCTGTAGGATACAGTAACGGCGGATAAATGTCATCATAAATGTGTCACCCTGCTGGGTGCGGTGGCTCACACCTGTCATCTCAGTGCCTTGGGAGGCCAAGGCAGGAGGATCGCTCGAGGCCAGGAGTTCGGGGTTGCAGTGAGCTGTGATTGCAACACTGCACTCCAGCCTGGGCGACAGAGCAAGACCCTGTCTCTAAAAATAAATAAACTTGTCAAAACCCGTAGAATGTTCAACGCTGCTGTGGTTTGGATGTCTCCTCTGGAATTCCAGTGTGGAGACTTGATGGCGAGGGTGAGTCAGGGCCTCTGCAGGGTGAGTGGGCCGTGAGGGCTCCCCCCTCGGGAATGGGGCTCAGGCCCCCCCCACTGTCTGCTGCAGCCACTGCATGTGTCCCCTCCGGGGACACCCCAACAAGCACCGTCCTGGAAGCAGAGAGCAGCCCTCACCGGACACCACAGTTGCTGCTACCTTGACCTTGACTTCCTGACCTCCAGAACCACGAGAGGTGTCAGTTCTGTATGAGTCGCCCAGTCTGCGGTGGTCAGTTGTGGCAGCACAGATGGACCAAGAGGAGCCCCACGGTGACGGTGGGCTTTGGGTGACGACAACTCGTCAGTGTCACTTTGTCGGTTGCCACTGAGGTTGCGCTCTGGGGGCGCTGGTCGAGGGGAGGGTGCGGGGCGGGAGGGCTGCGGGAACTCTCTGTACCTTCTGCTCAGTTCTGCTGTGAGCCTAAAATTGTTCTAAAGAATTGAATCTATTAATGAAAAAAAGTTTAAAAAAGCCTACACCTGCCAAACTTTCCCCAGTGGCTGTGCCATTTTGTGCTCCCAACACTGGCAGACTCGGCATGTCTGTGAGTTTGGACCATGCTCACAGGGGTGCTGTGAGCATGGTTTGCATCTTCCTCGTTGAGCATCTCGCCACCCGGCTTTCTGCAGGTGTGGGCCTTGTGTTTTGTTTCTCGATAAACAGGATTAACGGGAACGCTCCTGCAGAGGATCCGGTAGGTTTATCCAAACCCCTTTAGCCGAATACAAGTGTGGGTGACACTGCTTTTCTGGAAGCTGAACACATTTCACAGACATTATTGACCGACTTCAATCCACACAGATCAATGACCAGTTGCAAAATAACAACAGCTGCTGCCCAGCGTGTGCCTCCCTCACGCCAGGCTCCGTGCCGACGTGTATGTTCTTTGGGTCCCCACAGTCCTGACACGGGGCAGCATGTGCTGTGGCCCCGACGGCCACAGCTGGAGCCACTGAGGCTGGCAGTCCTCCGCGCTGCCGTCGCTGGGCAGCGGCAGCCAGAGCGGCCTCCTCTGCGCCGTTTCCTCGCCCTTGCGCTCCCAGGAAGGGTGGAAACTGCAAGCATATGTAAACAGCTCTGCTTCAGGAAATTGTTTGAGCCACCTGAGGCCACAGGCCACCAGCCTGAGTAGAGCAAGTGCTAAGTCCAGGCCGTTGGCCGCTGCCGGGAGGGGAGCCCGGCGGCTCTGGCTTCTGCAGAGCTGGCTCCCGCGGCCTCCGGTGGCAGCGTCTGAATCCTCCGTGGCTTTGAACAAGTGACACTCACTCGCCTGCTGGCCATCTGCTGGAAGGGCAGGTTGGAGTCTCTCGTTTTCCCCCCTTCCCTTGTTTCACAGGGCGTGTCTGCGGGGCTGCCTCCCGGGCTGTGCTCAGCAAAGGGGCTCTGGAGTCTTCCAAGTTCTTACAAGTTTTCCAGGACCCCAAGCAGCTTTTGTTTGTGTGGCTTCATCTGTTGATACTTATCAAAAGATATTTAAAAATATGTATGCACTAATTAAAAATGATAGTAACAAGACCACTACTTGTTGAATTAATAAAATTTTAAATGAAAAATAGCTATGTTTTCCAAAACAAAAAGGTAAATCTCTAGATCAATTAACTTAAAAAATTTAAGCATTATAATAGCAGAAGACGGAAAAGTAAACAGGACGATGTCCACTGACAAGATGACGGATCTAAGTAGGGGGACATCCTGCATCAGGGTGTCATATAGGCGTTAAAAGGAACAAGCTAGAGCCACTGTGCAACACAAACAAACCTTACAAACATTAAGTGAAAAATATACCTTTACATTTTTTAAGAAAAGGCTTAAAAACCTATTTTTGGGGGATGGAGTCGAGATATGTTGCTCAGGCTGGTATTGAACTCCTGGCCTCAAGTGATCCTCCTACTTTGGCCTCCTGAGTAGCGGAGACTACAGATGTGCACCACTGCACTTTGCTGGAAACCCCAAATTTTATGTGTGTGTACACAGAGAGTAAATCATCACGATGCGCGTGGTGGGAAACAGTCAGCACAGTGCGAGTGCTAAAAGGGAGGACGGAGCCAGAGAATGGGCTGGAGACAGGCATGACACTG